TGTAAGCAGCAAGGAACTCTGAGAGAGAGCAAGAGAGTGAGCGAGAGCAAGAACGAGCAAGAGAGAGAGAAAAAGAGAGAGAGAGAGACAGAGACAGAGACAGAGACAGAGACAGAGAGACAGAGAGAGAGAGAGAGAGAAAGAGAAGGCAGCATGTGCCAGGACAATCGAACTATCGCCTTAAGCAACATCAGCCATAGCTACTAAAGACCTAGAAAAGAAAGTTCTTGCCACCAAAGTCATTGGAACTGTCAAATGATTCAGAAACAGATATGTTTTTTTATCAGCAGAAATGACATTAAAGAAGAGGCATCATGGTCACTACACCCTAAGGTCCATGGGACCTTTCCATCTAATTTGCATCTGAAACCTTCTATATGTATTGTTTCCTCTTTTAGGATATGAGCTTCTTTGAAGCAGACTTTTTCTGCTTTTCTATCTGTATCCCCAGCACTTAGCACAGTGGTTTTGCACATAAATGCTTAATAAACGCTTTTTCATTCATTCATTTATCTATGGAGGAACTTTAGACAATCTGTGACATGAAGGCACTAGGGCCACTCGTACAAGAAAGTCTATCTAAGAGTCTAAGAATTCCCCAGGAGTGGGCACTATTGGTGGATTTAAGCATTACAGTACTGCACCAATTCTTTCTATCACTTGTCCCTGGATGATTTGCAGTCCATTCGAAGTGATACAGGTCAAAAGTGAGGTATGGCTCTCAAGGGACTCAACTCTGGCTTTCCAGAGTGCACCCTGTTGTTGAGCAAAGAGCAGAGGTTGGAGCTATGCAATGGAATGCCATACTAGACCATAACAAATCAATACAAGGTGTAAGAACACAGCCAGAACCACTCAAGGCCTACTTCTCTAAAAGCACAACAGAATCCCACAATCATTCTGGATACTTGGGCAGAGAGACAACTTTAGAGCTCATATGGACGAGATTCTATGGGTCAAAGATGACTGTGGATCCGTGTTAGAAGTGTGGGACCTGTGCTTGGTGTCCTAAAAAGAAAATTCTACAGGCTGATACTGCTTATCTAGAGAGCATAAGTGCTAGTACTTTTTTGGAGTTGACATGCAGAGAAGCCCTGTCTCTGGAAGAGGGTAGGAAGAATGCAAGCAACTTTCTAGAGATGAAAGACCATTTTACGTAGCATATACAGGCCTACCCAGGAAACTTCTATTGTAACCAAGGTATTTCAATAAAAGTGTTTCTTAATAAATAGCTTCCAAGCCAATATCCATTCTGATCCAGATAGAGATTTTGAGAATTAAGTACTCAAGGATTTATGGTCCCTGGCAGGAATCAAGAAGTCTAGAACTATGTCTACAACATGCACCTCATAGTGCATGTCTTAATATTATTTAACATGATCAGATGGCTCAATGGAGTTACTATTTGGCATTTCCAGATCATGCATATAGAGCTACCAAGGAAAATATCAGGGGCTCATTGACCTACAGATCTGTGTCTTGGAGCCTCAGAAGGAGGGGAAAGTGGAGACATAACTGATAGATCGCTTGACTGAAGATGAGCTGAAGGAAGCTGTCTTCCTAGCTGTGGCCTCTGTTCATCTGCTTCTGATTGGGGAATTCAGTAGTTCTGGCAACCAGGAAGGAAGAAATAATGGTGAGAAATGGAAACTAACTCTGAAAAGTGCTCAGCCCAGACAGACAATTGGTGTCTGATGATGGCCCATAAAGAAGGGGTCTGGATTACTGTGTGGATGATGGGGACACTGCAATTTGCTCCCCACTTTCAGGAGCACCTCTGCTCAAATAGAGGGGAGGGCAGAAGGCGGAGAGGGAGCAGGGGTCATTCACTTATGAAGTATGACTCTGGTGACTGAAGACAATGAGAGTTTCATTTGGACCATCCATGGGTTGAGTATTGAAACTACAGGTCAACAAGTCTAAAAATATAATGGTTCATGTCACCGCAGAAATGCCAGAATGAGCCAGCTGACATATATCCCATTGGTAAAAGCAGAGGAATTTATGCGTGTAGCCAGATGATGCCCATTGATGAAATGTATATAATGTATATTATGTGCTTGCAGGTGGCCTGCATAATTGGGATAACTGTTGCACAGATTCATGGATATTTATGATGTATGCCTGCAGATGTGCCTATGCAACTATAAATTTACAGAGAATGCAACTTTTTAACTAGGGAGATGACAGAACATGAACAGGGATTACCTGCCTTTGCTGAAGCTTTCCAGTGTGGCATCACATGCTTACAGCACGGCAGCAGATACCGTTGTTCTAGAAAGTTCTAGTGCCATATTCTTGTGGGAGTGGGTCAGGCTGTACAAGCTTGGAAGAATGAAGGAGAGAGGATGATGATATCTGGGGAGTCTTTAGTACTACTGAGCAGTCACAAGCAGATGGAGCCAAGCTAGAGCAGGGCTGAAGAAGGAATCCCCAAGACAATTCAAAGGCCAACAGACAGACTGGGAGTCATGGGCAGGGTGAGGAGAGAAGAGGGAGCCCCAGAGGAAAAAGCAATAAGGGGCTCCAGAGAGACCGAATGAGCAGAGATTTCAGGGGCCCACGTTACAAATTAAAATCACCAAAAATTTCTGTTTCTATTTCCTTGTAAAATAGAGACGTGTTAAATGAAGAGGGCAACAGCATGGATTTTATGGAGCTGTTGTGAAATGTTAACTACTGCATGTCTATAAAAATGCAGTCAGATTCTTTGATATAAAGTCCTATTGCATTCATTTTTTCTAAATAAAGGCTGGCAATAAATGTTTAGGACTGCTAGGCCTTATTTGGAGGCCGAGATTTAGGGCAGGCCTTGATGCAGTTTCTTTCTCTACTATGAGACATCCACATTTTGTTCTCAGCACTAAAGCTGAATTTCAGTGTAAGGGGGTTCAATTTCCTGCCCACGAAGGTAGAATTATTAGTAGCCTTTAGCATCTTTAACCTGAGCTCAATAACTGCTTTAGGAACCGCGTAACGTGAGCAAGTCCTGCTATTCTGAACCATTGTCCAGGGTGGCCCATTTTCACTGGCCAGGGCCTTACTCTGCCTGCTGTAGCCCGGCTTCTGGTTTGAAGTGCTTGTGATGTATGGATTTTTATCTGAGAAGTCAAGCTCTGAACTTCTGCAAAAGGTCTCCCCTTCCTATTTAAGAGCTGAATAAACTTATTAAACTAATACCGTATACAGAGTAGCTTTCTTCTTTAGGCTTTAGTCTTCCCACTTGAAAAATGAGGATAATAACAATTTCTTTCTTACTGCTATGAGGGTAGGGTAATGAAAGAAGTGATGGATTTGGGGTCTTATGTCCCGGGTTTGAATTCTGGCTGATTGAATCCAATCTGATCAAACCTCTCAGTGAGAGAAGACACCATGTAAGTACAGTAAAATATGGTGTCATGCTCAGCATTGCTATGGGGTGAGAACAGGATAAGTCACAAAATATCTGAGCTGGAAGGGAACTGTGAGCTCTTCGAGGCCAACATCCCCCAACCCCCAAATCTGGGGAAACGGAGACCCAGAGAGAAAGGACGTGCTCAAATAAGTGGTGGAGATGCTGCTGGAGCTCAGGCTTCCTGACTCTCATTCAGGCACTTTCCCCTCTCATCTGCCGCTCTGTCAAAACAGACTGTGGAAGGGAAAACCCATTTCTGGATTCAATTGAATTAAATGTTTGTGAAACAGAATATTTGCACTTGGCACTGGGGAAGATGCAAAGTTTAGGTAAGACACAATCTCTGTCCTCATGGAGCTTATGGGTCTGCCGGCAGCTAGGTGGTGCAGTGGATAGAGCACTGGGCCTGGTGTCAGAAAGCCTGAGTTCAAATTCAGCCTTAGATACTTACTAGCTGTGTGATCCTGGGCAAATCACTTAACCTCTGTTAGTCTCAATTTTCTCAACTGTAAAATGGGGAAAATAATAACACCTACCTCCCAGGGTTGTAAAGATCAAATGAGAGAAGATTTGTAAAGCATTTAGCACAACGCCTGGCATGCAGTTAGCCAACATCTTAAAGAGAGGAGGGGGCATATGTGAGGATGAGATAGGAGGCGGAGCTACTCTAATCTTTTCATTTCATACAAATACATATCCTCCTCTTTATTTTTATTCATTTCTATTTATTTATTTCTATTATTATTAATATAGTTTATTCATCATGAATATAATGTTTTTCTTTCAGTGCATTTGGGTATAGAGAAATACACCCGAAGTTGCACGAATGATGTTTTCTTTGACAATTCATCTGACTTAACAAATTTTATGCACTAAGAAGACCTATAGAGAAAAATGAGCAGGAAAAGCTTGATGTAGTGATGCAGTACAGGAAAGATGCTTTACACACATTATTGAATTTGATCCTCACAGCAATCCTATGAGGTAGGGTCTGTTATTTATCCCCACTTTACAGATGGGAAAACTAAGACTGAAAAAAAAAGCTTAAAGTGACTTGTTGAGGTTCCCACAGTTAGTAAGCGTCTGAGGCAGGATTTGAACTCTGGTCTTCCTGACCTTGTGGCAAGTGCTTTGCCATTTACTGCTCTGTGATGTCCCTTCACCCCTCTGGGTTCTAGTATTCTCATCTTTGAAATCAGAATGATAGACTAGTTGATTCCTAAGGCTTTTAAAAAAATAATAGCTCTAAATCCTTTGAAAATGTCAGTAATATAAAGATATAATTATAGGACATTCAGTGGAAAAGGTTAGTTCTTAAAAACATTATATTTTAAAATTATAATTAGAGTTACACCAACTCTTGAACCAGTTATTACTAATAAACTATTTAAAACATAAATTTATAATGTTAACTCTAATATATTTTCAAAATCATAATCTAATTTCTTTTCATTTTTTTAAAGAATAAAAGGAAATAGGATATAAAGGCAACCTTTCTTGTAAAAATAAGTAAATGAAAAATCTGAAACACATCATAGAGGCAATTTGCCATCTCATTGGTTAAACTTTTGAGAGGAAACAGCACAGTACCAGAAATTCAACATACCTGCAAGATGGTAGACATCTCTTCTAGGACATGCTCAGGACTGTCAGCTTCAGGATTAAATTTGTCCAATTGTTCAATCATGGGCTTGATACATTTATTAAAAGAGGCCATATTTGCAGTGAAAATTCCTAAGATGGAAGGAAATTGTAAATTTTCATGCTTTCTTTATAATATTCATATAAAATGAGAAATTCACAAGGCTATGTTTAGTATACAACTCAATAGTCAGGGCTATCTGAGGAAAAGATTAAAAAGTACCAAGCACATGAAGAGGGAGGCGTTAATGACAGCTGACAAATGTACATATGCACATATACAAATGTATATATGCATATTTGTCAACTAATATCTCATTAGTCTAATGACTAATTAGTCTAGTATCTAATTACTCTAATATCTCATTCATATATATGTACATATATATGCAGCACTGTATAGTTTATAAAACTCTTAATGCACATTATCTTACTTGATGTTGACAACCACCCTGTGAGGTGTGGTGGATAATACAAGTATAACCATTTCCAGCTTACTGAGGAAGAAACTAAAACATAGAGAAATGAGATGATTGGGTTCCCAAACCCTTGCCTACTCAAGGACAAAACACTACCAGCTACCAATTAGACTTGAACTATTTAATCATGTGCTTTTCTAAATGGATGAACCTCTCTCTAATTACTAATATTCTGCCTTGGCTCACTTCTCTATGGTTAACATATTCTCACTCCATTAGAAGCGTTCAATCCCACTGATTCCTAACCTTTGGCTTTGGATGTGCCAGTCTTGTTGTCCATATCCAACTGGCTGGTCTTTTACTCCTCTCCACCTTAACCCTATCTCCTCCCAATGTCCCACCCCAGATTTGCCCCAGTTCCACTGTGCCCTCTAAAATGCCTGTCAGATTATTATTCTTGTCCGTAATTCTTCTTAAACCTCTTTATTTCTCATTCTTTCCATTTTCTGACCCTTCTGATTTCTGGAGGATATCAAAATGATGCTGACATGATCCACTAAAAATTTATGTTTCTGTCATAGGGGAAAGTTAACAAAAAGGCAAACTGAGGCAATTCTCTGAGCAAGATAACATTTTGTTACCAGAGGCATGCTGTTTATCAATAAAAGGACCAATGGCTTACTGCCATTTAAGCCAAAAACCCTGAGTAAAAGGACAGTTCCCTTTTTCTTTAGGTTTTGGGGAATACAGAACAAAGAACAGAACAGGGGAGGTGACATCATGGGATTGAAGGCAACATGACTGGTTATAGAGCTGAGGTGCAGGGAACAAGATGATTGGTTGGAAGTTTGGTAGTGGAGGTTAGCAATGACCCTTTCTTTTTCTGAGACTAAGAATGCTTATTGTTTGGGTCCAGGTGCAGATATCCTTGAAGGATAGCTTGGTGGTGTAAAAATACTAAACCCAACTCTCTTGTGTTCACATGAAGAATAGATCAGTGATTAGCACGAGAGATGAAGTTTTAAACTTAGCCCATCACATACCAGCTGAATTTTGAACCAAGTTCAAAGACGAAGATCCATGATTTAAGCAATTACAGGACAAAATAAATTACTTGTAAATAGGATCAATAAGAAATGATACACAATTAATATTATTCATTTCATTACCTAATTTCAACTGGTCCCTCACTGCAGCAAGGCAATCCTTTTCCAGCACCCTAATCAATTTGCTATTCCACCTTTCACTATGGTTGTTCCAAACCTTATCTGTCCTTAAGCCTCCCACATAATCCTCAGTCAACACCTTAGCTAAGGAACGTGCCTCACACTTCACTGAAAAAAAAAATTGAGATCATTTGCCAAGAGCTCCCCTTTCTCTTCTCCTTCTCATCTCACATGATCCAGACATAGTTATGATGACAATTGTCCCCACTATCATCCCTGCTGTCTCTGTCTCATCTTCAATTTGGACAACAACATCTACTGGCTGTTCCCTACTGAAAAACATATCCATGTCTCCCCCAAGCTTAAAAAACTCTTGCTTGAACTGACCATCTTGGCTATTATACCTATTCTCCCCTTTGTGGCCAAACTCCTCGAAAAGTCATTTACATATATTGCTTCCACTTTCTCTCCTCTCATTTTTAAACCCTCTGTAATCTGGGCTCTGATCTTATCATTCAACGGAGACTTCCCTCTTCAAAAATACTAATGATCTTTCAATTGCCAAATTTAATGGACTTTTCTCAATCCTCATCCTTCTTGACCTCTCTGGAGCATCTGACACTGTCTACCACTTCCTCTCAGATGCTCTCTTGTTCAATCATGCCTAAATAGGAGTCTACACCATAACATCCCTTTTATAAAGCAAACGAACTTAGTCTCAGTATCCCTTCCAGTGGTGCCTGGAACTTAGACACTATCCCATATGCTGGGTGTTCTGCTCTTTGGTTCTTTGTCCAAGAGTCAGGGCTAGGAGCAAGATGGACGATGACCAGAAAAGGAGACTGAGAAAGGAGCATTCAGAGAGGTTCAAGGAGATCCAAGAGAGTGTCACAACCTAGGGAGGAAAGTTTATCCAGGAGGAGCTGCTGGTAAATGAACTTTGTCAAAAGCTTCAAAGAAGTCAAGAAGTTTGAGAACTGAGAAAAGAGCAACAGATGCAGCAATCCTGCAGAGAAGTTTCAGATGACTAGTGAAGTTAGAAATAAAATTTCCAGGGATGAAGAAGGAGGAGGAAAGCAAAGACAATGAATGTTAGTAACTTTCTGGAAAAGGGAGGCATCAAGGACACAGCTGGGGGCTGGCTTTGATTAGGAGAAAGGCCACAAGAGAACTAACACAGTTCATAAAACATTAAAATGCCTGTAACCACTCTTATTGAGGTCATAAGTGGCATATCCTCCTTCCAATTTTTGAATACATTTTCATTAAGCATAACTAATGACTTATTTCATTATGGTCTTATTACTCTTTAATCATGATTATTTCTGGAGTCCTTTTTTTCTAACTGACCTCTCCTTGACCGTTAAATCCTGTCTCGCTGATACAGTGGCCTGGATGTCATGTTTCCATCTGAAACTTAATTAGGCAAGGACTAATCAAGTAATCCTTTACCCTAACCTTTCCTCACTCACTGGTCATCTTCCAATCACCACTGTGCCCATACAAATTTGGAATCTTGGACTCTTCTGAGGAGTTCATCAAATCCTGTGGTGCATTTTCCCTTTGAATACCTTGATATCTGCTTTTTCCTTTCCAGCAAATTTCTGGTCTATGCATTGGTTCCACTGGCCTTGGACTCCTTTCCCTTTGCAGCCTCCATCATTTTTCTTTCCTGGTAGTCTTAAAATGGTGCCACAACAGTGCCCCTCTTGCCAGGCATTTTGACTATGCCACTTCATCACCTTGAGTTCTTGACTGGTTCCTTGTAATGCTTTCCAACATCTTCAGCCTCCTGACATTTGATAACAAGGTTCTCACCTGTTCGTCCTTGCTTGAATCACATTCTTGTGTTTCTGTTCTCTGTCAGCACCATGGCCAGAGTTAGCAGTGAAGTTGGAGAGCAGTAAGATGAGTCAGCACTACAAGGAGGTAAAGTACTAAGACAACCAGGGAAGGCAGATCTGTACCATGCTGACTTTAGAAGTGTGTGAGAGATCATATGTTATGGGAAATCTAAGGAAGAGAGTCTAAGGCTTTTATGAATAAGCTGCCACAGGGGAGCCTCACTGCAGATTCTGTTGCTTGTAGCATAAAACTTAGACCTCAGAGCTTCAAGAAGGATGGGGCTGCATTGCTTAGAGACCCTGGAAGCATTCATTAATGTTGGGCATTTGTATTTCTCTTCTGGTGCTCCACCCTTTAAAAGACAGCCTATGTATTGTATTACTGTTTCTTCTCCCCAAGGCATCTTCCATGGTGTCACTATGCTTGGACTCTGTACCCCTAGCTAGCTGGGGGTCACCCTTACCATAGAGGCTGGTCTTTGAAGTAGGGCATTCCAGATATAGTTTTGCTTGCACACTAATGTGACATCTCTGAGACTTTGCTCCCACCAATCTCAGGGCACATGTATTTGACATTCCCAGACACAACATTCTTTTATCTAGTTCTTGTATTTTTAGGAAAGTCAAGATACTTTCATTCCATTACTATTCTCTGGATTTTACATCTATGATATTTCATAATTCTGAAACAGCCTTTCACAACAAATCTAACAAGGCCCATTCCCTTCTCATTTATAACTTTGTTAAAGTCATTTATAACTTTGTTAAAGTCCCACTTCCTATATTAGGAAAGATTCTCATTTTTCTCCAATTTCTTTCTATCTCTGGTGTACAACAATAAGCAAATTAAGAAGCACAAGCTCATTAAGTGCCTGTTTGTCTAGTTCAAATCTGTCAAATAAAAAAAACAAAATTACTGAAAAGGAAAAAGATAAAAAGGCTTGAGTAGACTAACTTTCAAAAGTGATGAGTCTTGGTGTGGATAACCCTTTTGCCAGGAATGTTGAAGAGGGAATTTTTATTCAAATATGGGTTAGACTAGGTCTTATCCAACTCTCTGATTCTTTGATTCTGGGGAAAGCAGTGTCATTAAAACTAAGTCACCATGAGATAATGAGAATCATTAACCCTTTTGACAAGGATTCATAGAATCTTAGAGTTAGAAAAGACCACAGTTATCCAATATCATCCTTTTTACAAGTGAGGAAACTGAGGCCCAGCAAGTATAGTATTAACTCAAAAGCATCTACATTGAGTGGAATACCAGGTTGCGATGACTGTTAAATATAGAATAATAGGGAGTGAGGGAGAATTTCCTTTATCTTTTTATCTTCCTGGCACTTCTTAAATCACACTTTACCCACAATGCCTGCATATTGCTTGAAATATAATTGTGTGGTGTCCCTAACTATCTGGTTGTTAGAATCATAAACTGGGCACCCTTGTTTCTTCCTAATCCTTTAGATATAAGTACATGTTTAACCTATTTTTTTCACCACTTTGTTTCAATTTGGCATTTTTCTTTTCCATTTGTTAGGTTGACAAGACTAGAACACAAAGTTAATGAGCACCCTTCTGCCTACTGCGGGTGGTGGCTTCTGCATTAGTATCTGATCCCTGCAGTGGGGAAGACTGTCTTTCTTTACCTTCCTCACACTGTCACC